TTATATATTATTAAAAATATATTATTTTTTATATATCAAAAATATATTACTTTTAAGAATATTTTATTTTTTATATAAAATTTAAAAATATATTATTTATTTTTATATATTATTAAAAATATATTATTTTTATATTATTAAACAATATATTATTCTATTTTTATATATTATTCAAAATATATTATTTTATTTTTATATATTATTAAAAAAGCATTTATATATAATTTATTAAAAGTATACTATTTTTTAAAAAAAACTTTTATTTATTTTTATAATAAAAAATGATAATGTCATTCCATTCTAGTCATATTCCTTCTGCATACCAAACGCATGAATGACAAAATATGTTTCATTCCATTCCCATAATCATTCCATTCTTCAATTCATTCCATTCCTACGAAATTCCATTCCATCATACCAATCATGCCATTAATGTATTGACACCTGTCCAAAGTGTATTTATTGTAGGACACGCATCAATACACTATTTGTTAATAACTGTGGATAGCTCCATAAGCCTAGCCATCATATGACTCCATAGCAAAACTGTCAAATACTAATACTATGATTCTATGAATGGCATTTGTTGGCAAGTTGTGCCAAGCCACAAACTTTTGACCATCTTATTATTGTTGGTTTTTCTCTTTCTTTTTTCAATTTTCGGTTTAAATCAAGGTAATTAAGTGTGATTTAGATTTGTTAAATAAAACGAGTCGTTCGTAAACTCGGCTAAACTCCGCTCATTATAAAGGCCGGAGGTCGAGTTTGTTTATAGTTCATATAGCATATGAATCGAGCAAATTTGAACTCGTTAGCTCAAGAACAAATGGTTTACATAATTTTTTGAACTTTTAGTTTAGTTCGACTTGTTGAGGTCTGAATTCGACTCATTAATATTGATAATTAGGTGAAGCACGATCTTGTTGATCGGCTTGTTTAGTCAAAAGTCCGACTCGGTGAAGACTCTAACTTTATCTTGTGCGTCATAAAGTCGTGCTCGACTCAGCTTGTTTATATCTTTAATTGTGAATTGGCAACTTTCGATATTGTTACTCTACCTAAATTTATTTTTCAAGTAGGATGGGCTAGACCATTAGTGAGTATACGGATGGATCTGAGTTTAATGAGCCTGGAACTATTCAAGTAGTCCTCCAGTAATTATTAGTTGGGTTTGGGCTTGAAAATAAAGGAGTACAGTACCAGGCCTCCCCAGTAAATGAATGTTAGGCTTGGGATTTAAAGTAATATGATGTAGGCCCATTATATGCAGGACCAAGTTTGTGAAATAATTTTGGTAGCTGGCTGAAGATACACCTGCTCACAGACAGAATTAGACGCTTTTAGTTAGTTATAGTTGGTCAAAGATGCCTAAATTATTTGTATCTAATAACAACAACAACAGTAATAATGATTTAAATGTTCGTAGTATTTTTTACTGAGATTTGAAATACTACTTTTTTTTTTTTTGAAACATTTTAACTTACAACATTGACCAGAGTACGTCTTAAGTTAGGTCGACGTAATTATTAAGCCGTCATACTTTTTTATTTTTCGCAATTTACATACTTTTATTAGTAAAAGTATGCATTTTATTTAACAAAATATGACAAGTTGACTGTTTAATAATTAGGCTGACTGGAACAATAATTTGTGATTAATCTAATTTCTCGGCATTAATTATATAAACATTTACGTAGTGATGGGAAACAAAGATGGGCACTTCTCAAGACTAATGATCATCTTGTTTATGTGCAATGTCTTAGCAACTTTTGTGGTGGACACCTCTTACATTTTCATTTAGTAAGAATTTAATTAATAAAAAAAATAATGTCTAGTTATTATATTTTGGTAAACAAAATTAAGAAATATAAATAAAATATTTTTAATTGATGTAGAGTAGAGATAGACTTATATTGCCTTAGTTTGACTTGGACTCAATTAAAAATATGTGTATTGTATATTAATAATTATAAAAGTTATGATTGGTGTATGTTTAGAGAGTTCATTAATGTTATATCTGACATCTTCCAACAAATTCAGGCTGGTTATTTAAAGTTGGTATAATGGGAACAATTTTGGTGGAAATTAAACATCACAATACATGTGATTTAAGAAAACAAAAAGAAATAATAAATAACTAAATAAATAAATACCAAAGAACACGAGAGATATTTTATACATAAAAAATAAAAAGTTGAATAATTTTCCTAATTTTATTTTTTGATTAAAGTGCATATATAAATATAATATTAATTTCCTAAAACTTTGGTTAATTTAGAAAAAGAAGCCGCCTAATTAGGTTAGACCAACCTAAATGTACCATCATCATGTGATGTCAAAACAACTAAATGGTGATGCCCTCTCATTGTCAATTATATCTCAACAACACAACAAGCACTTTAACCTAATTTTGTCTTCATTTTGTACCAAAATTATTTATATAACTTAATTAGATTTCGAAAATTATGAATTTTAAATGATGATATTAAATAAAACAAAATTTTATACCAAAGTCGTTTTACCTAATATTAGCTATTAAAAATAAAATAGTTAGCATGTGTAAGTTAAAATGAGAGTGATTAATACAAGACAATAAATCATATTGAAGATCCAAAGCAATATGAAATCCAAAGATACTCAAATTGGTGTCTTAAAGGCGTATGTAAAAGTCTAAAAACACTAGACGAAATAGAGAATAAATAAATAAATAAAATAATAAATAATAAAAAGTATAAAACGGCTACGAATTAACTAAACGGCTAGGAACTACAAATTAACATAATTATATATGAATATAAGTTATACATTAATGATTCAAAAATCTCGGGTGAATCGTATATGAATAGTTTGGATTGAGAACAAACTCTAAATTCATTATTGGAGTAACTAACTTCAAATGCTTTCACCTAATTAATTATTTAATTAGCAACTTAATTCTCAACTTGCATAAGAATTTAGCTTATTCGATTTTAGTTGCGTCCAAGTTTAATGTTTCTTCAAACCCACGTAAAAATCAAGTAAGATGAGTTAAATGAAATATTGCCTAATTTCCATGGGTAGTTGACGCTCGCCACATCTAACCTTTTGAAACTTGTATAAATTGAAATTTGAAAAAAAATCACACATTTTATTCAATAATATTGTGTTTATGTGTGTATCCCTTTAATTAAATTGGCTTTCTATGTTAGTATTTATTTTGGCTTGACTTTTAGATTTCGTGTGTCTCCAGAGTCGTATATGATTTTGGTATTAGTATTTATCTGAAATAATTTATAAGAATATAAATTATTATATTTATTTTTGTTGCAAAACTATCAATTTATTCAATTACCTATATTACATATAAGTATCTTACTAGTTACTAGTATTATTGTATTTATAACGTGCCAGACTTCGAACGTCGGCAAGCAAGAAAAGAACAAATGTAACTCAATCATATTATTGTCGTTAATTTTTTTTTTTATTTATTTTTTTTTTATTTTTTTTATTGTAAGTGACATTTTAAGAAAATATATTAATTCAAGCAATTTCATTCTCTCTCCATACCCACACACTGCTTTCATGCAATGTAACACATCATTAAGTTGGGCATGAAGATTGAAGGGACCATCATTCAAGTCGTGAGTGCGACGTATTCATTGAGCTAGCAGAGTCGAGTTTGGCGCGTTAACTAAATGAGCTGATAAATTAACTCGAATTCGATTTTTTTATCAATATTTACTAGTCAAACTTAAATCGAGTTATACAAAATTATATAAACAATCTTATTTTTTAGCCCAACAAGTCAAGTTGACCTTGACTGGTTGATTAAACAAGCTCGAGTAGAGCCGAGCCGAGCTCACGAGAGACTCGTTTTTTTTAACAGCTATAAGCTCAAGCTTTTATCAACCGTAGCATTAACTAAACAACTCAATAAATAATCTAGAATTCGACTGGTTTATTAATATTAATAACCCAAACTCGAGCTGTATAATTGTTTTTAGAAAAAAAAAATTAAAAAAATCATATTTTCTAGCCTTAGCAAGCCGAGCTTGAATTCATGAGTTGAGCCTAGACGAACTTACGAGTGACTCATTTTGCTTAACAGCTTTAGGCTCAACCCTTTATCGAGCTAAGTTGTTAATTAAGTGAGCCGATAAACAAGCTCGACCTCGACTCGTTTATAATATTAATGAGTCGAACACGAGCTAATCAAACTAAAAAAAATTAAATGAAAATTTATATTTTCGAACCTTAATAAGCTGAGGTCTAAGACATTTTTATTCTTCTATTGTCCAACTTTTCTTTTGAATTATTGTGATTCTTACAAAACCATAATTATTTAATCGTTCTCCCAATCCGGTCAAAGATTATATATATCTAATGTTAGTATATAATACTCTCTCCTATTTTTATTATTTGTCATTCTAACTTAATTGATCATTTGTTAAATAAATGTCGTTTTGGCTATTTTGTACATATTTTTTCGTTATTACTCTCATCTAGTTAATAAATATACTACGTCTTTTCATATTCACTCTCCATCTTTTCTCAAAACATCAATCTCTATCCTCATTAATGACGGTTATTATTGGTAAACAAAATATTCTTAATTATTGTGCAACTTCTCAAAACGACATTTATTAAAAATAAGAGGGAGTATGAATTAATTCTAACAGTTACAACTTACAATGGTGTGAAATAAATGTCACATATTGGTAAATAAATAAATAAATACAAAAATACAGCTTGGCTTTAGCCGAGACCATAATGACGCGGCAATAGGGTAGAGCCAGCAGCGTCCAAAAGAGCAAAACTAAAAAAGCAGGCCAATTGAATGTTAGCATAGGCATTCAACTAACTTGTAAACACTCCCTTCACAACTGCCAACATCATCTTCGTAAACAGACAAAATCCATTTAAAATCTCCTCAATTAAAATAATAACACTAATAATAAAATAAAATAAATAGAAAGAAGAAAATTTGTCAACCACATACCATTTTCATTTCCCAACACCACCAATTACAAATTTATCATCATAACCAAATTGCTCCTCATCAATCCTTTTTAAACCCCCCTTTCCCTCCATATAACACAACTAGCTAGCTCCTCATCACAAACATTGAACCACATAACATCTCTCTCTCCCTCTCTCTCTCATTCTCTCCAGAGAGATTAAAAAACAATGGGTGCCCATCGACATTTTGACCCGATATCAAAGTGCAGCACGAACAACCGATCGAACCAGACAGTAGCGGCCGATCTAGACGGCACGCTATTGCTCTCGACTAGCGCTTTTCCTTACTACATGCTCGTGGCCTTAGAAGCCGGAGGCCTTTTCCGAGCCGTGCTACTATTGGCTTCCGTCCCCATAGTCTACTTCGTCTACCTATTCGTCTCGGAGGCACTCGCGATCCAGACACTCATCTTCGTCTCGTTCGCGGGCCTCGAGATCCGCGAAATCGAGCTCGTGGCCCGTTCAGCATTACCTCGGTTTTACGCCGGGGACGTGAACCCGGACACGTGGCGCGTTTTCGACTCGTTCGGGAAGAAGTGCGTCGTGACCGCCAACCCTAGGATTATGGTGGAGCATTTTTGCAAGAGCTATTTGGGGGCGGACAAGGTGCTCGGGACCGAGTTGGAGGCGACGGGTTCGGGCCGGGCCACGGGCTTTTTGAGGAACCCGGGTGTTCTTGTTGGGGCCCACAAGAGGACGGCAGTCGTGAGGGAGTTTGGGCCGGCTAATTTGCCCGATTTGGGCCTTGGAGATAGAGAGACGGATCACGATTTCATGTCCATATGCAAGGTAATTAATTTGTTTTGACTAACTAATTTTTTTTTTATATGTATATAAAAAATGTGAAAATGGAAATGCATAATTGATTTGATTTAAAATTGATTTTAGTTGTGTGGATATATAAAGCGATGGGAGATTTAAATTGTTTTTTAGCGATTTAAATGTCCATAGGCTGATTTTGTTTGGTAGGGTTGGTGACCGTTTGAACATAATTGTCTCTCTTTTTTTTAATTTTTTTGGCCCCTTTCTGCTTAAAGGTCCTTTGTATTTGTATGTCCAAGGCAAGCCTTCGTATCATATGAGTCCCATGCATACATATTTCATGCTAGTTACTAGTTAGTGGTTGAGAGCGTAAATCCGGATATTACTTTTGGTGTNATTTTTTTTTTTTTTTTATATATATTATTATTAAATCTCATAATAATCACAACTTCATGTCATGAAATTTTCCAACTGTACTCGTTTACCAAATAACTCGAATTCAAGAGTGACTCGTTTGGCTTAACAATTCTAGGCCCACAAATTAAGAGAGGAGAAAGTTACACCATTTACGTTAAAAGCTCATTTATATATTTATTTAACTTTTACAGTTTATAAATTATTAGCTTCTGATTTACTTTTGCCATTAGTCTCTAAAATGCATATATGTATTTTTTTTTTTGTTGTTTTTGTTTATGAATGATTTACTTATGATTGTGTTATTTATTTTGATAATGTATTTTTACAAGAAAATAAATAAATAAAAAACTGTAGAAAACCTGTAAAATAGCCTATATTTAATAGATCATTAATTGGATACCATCAATGTAAAGAGGGTAAATAATTTAATTTAGAGGACATATAGTGAAGGACTACAAACACATAAATAGTCATCAATAGAGGTTTAATATCGCCTAGTGATCGTGGCATACATTATGAATATAAAGTACTCAAGATAATATCATCATTAATTTATCACCTCCTTCCTCGCCTAATTTGCTGCAGGTCATTAATGAAATATTTTTCCTTTTTAATTTATGAATTATTGATACTTTTGGTTTGTGATTCATTTTCTATTTTTATATAAATTTTGTATTGCAGGAGGCATATATGGTGCCTCGTACAAAAACCGAACCACTCCCGAGGAACAAACTCTTGTCCCAAGTCATATTCCACGAGGGACGCTTAGTACAAAGGCCCACTCCATTAGTGGCACTTGTCACCTTCCTATGGATGCCACTTGGCATCATCTTGTCCCTTGTTAGGGTCTACCTCAACATCCCCTTGCCCGAAAGAATCGTACGGTACACGTACGCCGCCCTCGGGATCAAGCTCGTCATTCGGGGCAACCCTCCCCCACCTCCCAAGTCCGGTGGCGGCGTATTGTTCGTCTGCAACCACCGCACGGTGCTCGACCCGGTGGTCACAGCAGTCGCTCTCGGTCGAAAAATCAGCTGCGTGACTTATAGCATCAGCAAGTTCTCAGAGCTGATTTCGCCGATTAAGGCGGTGGCCTTGTCGAGGGAAAGGGATAAGGATGCGGCAAACATTCGGAAGTTATTAGAGGAGGGCGATTTGGTCATTTGCCCAGAAGGGACCACGTGCCGTGAGCCGTTTCTGCTGAGGTTCAGCGCGCTTTTCGCGGAGCTGAGCGATAGGATTGTTCCGGTCGCGATCAGGACGAGGCAGAGCGTGTTTTACGGGACGACGACACGCGGGCACAAAGTGTTGGACCCGTATTTCGTGTTCATGAACCCGAGGCCGACGTACGAGGTCACGTTTCTGGACCAGCTGCCAATCGAACTGACCGTTAGAGGGGGTAAATCGCCGATCGAGGTTGCGAACTATATTCAGAGGGTGTTGGCCGGGACATTAGGGTTCGAGTGCACGAATTTGACGAGGAAAGATAAGTACGCGATGATGGCGGGAACTGACGGGCGCGTGGAGTCGAAGAAGGAGAATGGGTGTGAAGAAAAAAAATGAACTTTAATATTCATTTTTATTACAAAATGTTGTTATTTATTCCTCCAAATTAAGGATTTTGGGTTAAAAAATAAGAATCAAAATCAAAATTATATGGGAAGAAAATGAAATAGAGTTTATGGATAGTGTTTGGCCATGAGGTTGCACAATGACTATCAATATTATGTATAATATTGGTCTTTTTTTCTTTACTAATTCATTTAGCAATGGGTAATATAATATTGTCACACCTATGAATGATGTAAGATTATTCAACAAAAGCAATAGATTTTGAAAATATTTTGCAAAATCCATGTATATGTTAACATTTATGGAGAATTAGGTGAGCTTTTATTTATTACTCTCACCAATAGAAAGTGGCCTCCATCTGTGTGCCATATACTGATATACAGAGTAATAAAACCTTGTGGTCACCAATTTTTTTGCATAGAAATAAAAGGGGTGTAGCTTATAATGTACTTTTGATTGGCCAAATCAAAACCTTCAAAATAGTGTTGCTGCTCTCAATATAGTGTTGTTTTAAGATGAATTTATTGGGAGAATTTAGGAAATAGATAGCTCAGTGCAATAAAAATTTCCTATTTTGAGATGAAAAATAATCAAAGTGACTACGAATTTGAAGTGAATCCATGTGGCATTAACACATGGAATTATATATTCTGGCAAAGGACTTATGGGGAGTTGAGGGGACCTTTCATAAGTTACTCAAAATATGAGATGTCAATAAATACCGAAAATAACTTTAGAGAGGTTATTGATGTTGGCCATGTGGTATGCCAGCTAAATCCAACGAATGATTGGTGTCAATATTAATTCTTATAAATTCTATTTTTCATTGCATATGAAAGTTGATATCGTAACAGATGTAACAATTTTTCCCATTATTGTTATTATTTTTCTGTGATTAATTGGTACATTTTTCTCCAAGTTTAGATGTATTTTCATGTCCACCCAGTCGAGCCTAATAATGAGAGTGATATATCATACTGTCAATTCCTGAATTTGTTCGTGTATAATTTTAATCACCCATGCAACATATAAAGTTAATATATATATGTTGTACCATTTCATTCATGGTAGATGAACCATGAGAATTAGACCATGCAATTCAACTTACAGCTCACTATAATATCACATGATTATTTTTATTTTCTAAAATATATATATTAATACATATATTTAAAAATAATGTATAATAATACAATTCGTCTAATCTGATCCTTAACAACGATGTAGTAACAGGCAGCTATGTATTAAACTAATTACATTGCCAAATTTAAATTTAACATTATGGGTGAAAGATAAAGTGAATATTGCATTCAATTAAATCAGAAAATTCAAATTTAGATATCGAGGATTGATTAAAAAACGTAGAATTAAATTAAAAATTAATCAGTCATCAATCAATCTTCTGTTCATCTCTTTTTTATAGTAGATCTAGCAAGAATGAAAATGGATTGGGCTAGGTCATCATCAATCTATTGGGTTGACCCATTAATAAAAAATAATGGGCTAAAGAAAAAGATCCAAAAAGAATTAACATAAATAAGGAAAGAGGTCGAAGCTGCAATGAAACCCCCATATTGATTTTTATCCCCAGAAAGAAAATAAAGTATAACAAGAAAAAAATCTTCGTTATCGATTTTGGTTTCTGGATAATGTATTGGTTTTTCAGACCCAAAATCCAAACATTGGTGCTTGATGGGATGTAAGCGAGTTGAACTCGATTTGAAGCTCCAACCCAAGAAGGTGAGACATCAAATCAAGCTTTTTTTTTTTTTTTTNGAGGTTCTTGCATCATGTGCGTGTGTGTGTTCTGTATCTGTATGTTTCAGACATAAAAGAAAAAAAAAAATCTTTATTGTTGGTACTGAAGTTAGGTTAATGTGGTTTGTTCATACCCTTGTGAGCTGCAACAGTTCTTTTCCTTCAATGAATCCACAAATAAATCTTGGGAAAATTTTGTTAATTTTGGTTAAAGGGGTTCATGTGGCTTTCATAGTTTTTTTAGTAGCATTTCCCTTTTTTCAGATTGATGTATTTTGCTAGTATGCCGAGAGGTCTCGATTAGATAAAAACGGCAATGACTGGATAAGTCGGCTCCCGAACGACATCCTCATCATTATCCTGTCTTTGGTACCGCTCAAGGAAGCCGCATGTACAACCATCCTCTCTTCCCGATTTATAAACCTATGGAAACACATCCCTTCCCTCAACTTCTATGAGGACAATGTGATAAACAGCTTCGTGAAAGATAACATTGAAACGCGGCAACTTGAGTGAAGAAGTGGTTGGGTTCTTTCTGTGTGAGTGCCCATCGCTCGAAAAATTGGTCATTGATGGCATGAGAAATATATCGATGTGAGATCTGTGGTGGTTCTTCTTCCTTGAAGCTAAAGCACTTGGAGTTTTACTGCTTGTACCATGTGAAGTCTATTAGGATTTCAGCACCGAATCTTAGTGTACTAATTGTTGATAGGTTGAAGGTGGTTCGGCTGGAGAATGTTCCGGTTTTCTCTGAGGTGTCGGTTATTTGCGGGATGGATTCTATCGAGTGTTTGTTTCCTACAATTGCTTGTTGCATTTCGCGACTGAAGATGCTTACCTTGGAGCTGATCGGCTTGGAGGTGAGGCAAAGATGGTTAATTTATATGACAAATGATATAGTAGTTATCATTGAATAAAATAACCGAGAGTAATTTTTACTTGCTCAACAAAAATGATTTTTTTTTTTTTATAAATATGTATGCAGAAAAATATAGATCATTGCAAGTTTCCCGAGTTGCCAATGCTAAAGAAACTGGAAGTGAGTTATAACTGTGGAGGTGTTGAAAATTTTAGGGGACTTAGTTTTTTTATGAGAGCAGCTCCTTGCTTGGAGGAGTTAGGAGTTTGTTCTAGGGATATGCCTTCACATCTTCTTCTTCATTTATTTGTTATTTGTTTGGTCTTTTTGTGCAGTATCTTATGTGATCACATAGATTCAATGGGTCGAACCCAGAGTAATTCGAGAACTAAATAGATTGACATTTATAACATTAACTAACATCTCTTTGCAAGTTAAAAACAGAGAACTTCATTAACTCTTGATCATAGGAAAAAAAAAGAACAACTTGATAAAAGCTAGCCATTTGATACATACACATTTCTTTTTTCGGTCCCTAGCAAGGTCAACTTTGTACCATTCTATTTATAACAGATAATCAATCTTTTCACATTTATTCTTGGGCAGTTAATATGGTTCCAAGATTCCCAAGATCCATCATGGCCTTGCAGAAACTACAAAAATTACGAAATAGAGCTTCCTCACGAGCACTTGAAATGGTTTGAATCTTGTGGATATCATGGCCGCTTCCTAGATGTTGGATTTGTGAGGTACATTGTGGAAAATTTTGTCATGCTCAAGAATTTAGTTATAGATACAAGTTACTTGGGTTGGGCAACTCGAACCTGTGAAGTACTCGAACGAGAAAAAAGTTGCAAGGAGTTACGTAAAGCAACAGCTTGAAGGAAAACTACCTCAACATATAGACTTGGTCATAAATGAACTTAAGCCTTATAGAATTAGTTAACTATTAATCATTATTATTGGTATTTATGTTTTTTATTTGTCTAAGAAATTTACAATTTTTCCATTTCATTATATTGAATTTCAGTGAAATGCTTTTGAATATTCCATCATTGAGATATATTTCTTCGTATTTTTTAAGGAGTACGAGTGTGACTTAGTAGAGTTGATTCTAATGATTTGATATTTCAGTTTGTGTCGTGTATTTCCCGAGAATGACATTATTTCAGCATATGCTAATTATAGACGTTACACGGATGAAACCAACCACTTTGGGCTTGCCCTAACGCACTTTGGACTAATCGGACCTGGAGTCCTTATTTAAACGGGCTAGAAATAGACGAGGCTAATTCCAATTCTAGCCAGTTTCCGACTAGACGGTACTATTCGGTTACTCGTCAAAATTCTAAAATTAAATTTAGATGCAACAATTTGAATTTAAACATAAAATACAATATTTAATTTTAGATATGTTGTAAAATTTTAGTTAAATTACACAGGTAAAACAATAAAACTAAAAATTTTATAAAATAATATTAATCTATGTATTAACTAAAATTTTTATAAAATAATATTAATCTATATATTACATGTTTGTCATATATATACAAGGGATGACTGGGATTGGCTCCACCGGTTGCGTCGACTATTTAACCAGGTATCGACACGATGGGCGTGATGTTGGCCCTCAACCAGGGCGGCAGTCGGCTGCCTGGCGCGCTTCGCTGCTTCGCCTGCGGCGAACGGGGACATGGTCAGGCACAGTGCACCAAGGCGAAAGGGTAGCGGGCTTTGCTGATTGAGGAGCCCGAGTCGGGAGATTACGATGGCCCTCGGCCCTCCTATCTTCGATAAAGAGCCGGAGGTGCCTGTCGTACATGTCTTGGGGGACGTTGATCATGCAATAGTCCTCTATCGCTCCCTCTCGTCACCTTGCTTATCTCCCGAGGATGAGGGCTTACGACATCGTCTGTTTGAATCCACGTGCACCATTGGCGGGCGAGTATGTCGATTTGTGATTGATTCAGTGCCAGCGACAATGTGATCTCGAATGATACAATGGCGAAGCTTGGGTTGTTAAGAGAGTCACATCCGGATCCTTACACTCTTGCGTGGACAAACATGTAATATCCCCGACCGCGGCGCCCCTTGCAAGCACCTCCTTTTCGTCCTCATCTGTGCCCTCGGCCTCCCTCCCGACGACCTCTGCCTCGGCCGACGAGCCCTCCGCCCCTGCCACCTGTCCCGCCTGCTCGCCCGCCCGACCTCTGCCGGGGCGCTAGCTGGTTCCGCCCTCAAGGAGAGGTTCCGGGAGATCTTCTTCGGCGGTGGTGGGGCGGCTCCGGCGCCGGAGGTGAGCAGCGGGGGTTGTTGCCCGGTGTGTTTGGAGGAGATGGGGAGGGAGGATAGGTGGTGGCGTGCGGGACTTGTAGGAATGTGATACACGAGGAGTATTTCTTGTCGTGGAAAAGGAGCTGCCGGAGGAGGTCAGCCACCTGTGTGCTCTGCCGTGCGTGGTGGCGGGGCGGAGGGGATCGGGAGAAGTATGTCAATCTGTCGGCCTTTGTTAGTGAGGACGATGATGACGTGGTGGGTGGGGGAATTCGGCGATGCAGTATTTGATTTTCAATGATTTTAGATTTATTTGTTGTGTATATATTGTGTTTAATTTAATTTTTTTTAGCGAAATTTATATATACGGGAGATTTGACTGTTTATTTGTTGAAATAAATTTGTACATACGTTTAGGGCTGGTATCGGTTCAGTTACCGAACCGATACCATAATACCGATACCGAACCGAAAAAATCGGTTTTACTATTTTGCTAACCGAAACCGAACCGATAAACATTCGGTAACCGAAAAGTTGGTTACCGATAAAACGGTTCGGTTCCGGTTTAAACCGATAAGAAACCGAAAAAACCGAGAATAATTAACAGAAGAGAAGCAGAATATGATGCTAATGAACTAATGAGCAGCAGAATAGGATGCTAAGTAAACAGAGCAGCATATTAAGTAACTGAGGCTGTTTATTGATGAAGTAACAAATAAACTAATGAATTAACAGCAGCAACCATGAATATGATGCCCCTGAATGCCCATTAACTAGCAAATGAATTAACAAATGAACTAGCAGCAGCCATTGCCCATGAAATAACTGCAGCAGATTAACAAATGAACTAATGAACAGAAACTTAAATAAACATCAGCAACACATTAAAATATTAAATAACAAGCTTAACAATAGTTCCAAACTTCCAACTTCCAACTTCCAAATCCAATTCACAACACAACAAACCATATCCAAATCATCAACCATATCCTATATCATGGTACTAGAAGCAAATTCGGGGTAGCAGTAGCATGGTCACATTAATTGACCACATCTCAAAGGAAATGATTGAGCTTAACCTAATCAGGTGTCATAAAATCCACATTAATTGGTCTCCTTTTGCTTAACTTAATCAGGTACAAAATTGAAGATAATTATCGGGTTTACCTGGGGCACGGCTGAGGCGATCTGAATTCCGTGAAAACAAAATACTAATGAACGATTGTACGAAGCCGTGAAGCCGTGAAGGTGTGAAGGACCGAAGGTGAGGCGATTTGAAGGTGAGGCGAAGGTGATGAACGACGCCGTGAAGGTGTGAACGGAAGATTGATGGACGAAGCTGTGAAGCCGTGAAGGTGAGGCGATGTGAGATTCTGAATTTCTGAGGTGAAGTAGTGAACTGTGAATTGAATCAATTGATGAACGAAGGAGGCGATTGAAGAAGTCTTGGGTGAGTTGGGTCTAGTCCAGCCCTAAATTTTTACTCTTTTAAGTTTTAATATTATCCGTCTTTTTTCTTAGATTAATAGTTAAGACTTAAGATTTAAGACAAAATTATTTTATTTAACTAATATAATATAACCTAATCCAAAGCAGTATTTTTTTATTATTATAATGGTATCGATTCGGTTCGGTAAAACCGAACCCTTATGGGTTCGGAACCGATACCGAACCGATAACGTTTCGGTAATCGATTTTCGGTTACCGATAAACTTGGTTCGGTTCGGTTCGGTTAATTTTCACATCGGTTCGATTCGGTTTTCGGTTTTCGGTCAAAAAATACCAGCCCTGCATACGTTCGCTGCATCTCCAATGATGCTAAGTCTGAAATAGTTGATTTGAAATTGACATAATTTGATAAATACAATTTATAATTTATTTTATGTAAGACGGGTTAATCAATAACTGGTCCATAAGTTATACTTTTGGGGATGACTACAGTCTCGTTACAGAACTATTTCTTAAAGGTTTTTAATAGATTAGTGTAGATATAGATTATCTGTGGTTAAAAATCCCAACGTAATGGTTCTGTAATAAAATTGTAGTACTTCCACGTACTTATATAATGAAATACATAATAATGCCATAATATTTCATAGTTTTTTTATAGGTTGACATTTAATCTAGTACTATACATATTTATTGAGAAGTATATTGCAAAAGATTGTCTTTTAGTTTATGACAATACCATTTTGAATAAGAATCATGTTTTAGTCAAGTATATGTTTGCACACTACGAAAAAATGATGAAATTTCAACAGAAATATATTCAGTGGAATTCCAATGGCAACTCCAATGGATATTCCAATGCTATTGTTTTCGTTGGAATATTCCAATAGATTCCAATAGAATATTCTCAAAAAAATATTCCGTTGGAATGAATTTTCTATTTGAATTTTCGTTGGTTTTTTACGGTTGCAATATGAGGGAAAATAGAAATTCCAACGGAAATGACATTTTCCAACGGAAGCTCCTACGGTAAAAAACCGTTGGAATAATAGCCGTTTGAATCATCAAATTTCATCTAAAATTCTAATGGAAAACTCATTCAAACGGACCATTTTCGTTGGAATATCCGTTGTAATCATTTCAACGGAAACTGGAATATCCGTTGGTTTGACCTGACCGGTTTCGGGCCTCATATATACACTTTTTGAACCATCAGACCTGTTCTGAACCGAAATTGGCCCGACGGTTCAAACCTTTTTTTGTTTGAATTTTTTATTACTTTTTTTTTAATGAACTGGACCGGTCCGAAACCGGCGGTTCACCAAACTAGCCCGAAACCGCCTGTTCGCCGAACCGGCCCGTGCATTTGTTCGGGCCGATTAAATGCCAGCCAACCCTTGGCTTGGACCCGACGGTTCCAATCCAAAAGCGGGCCCAAAATCGAATTTGGTCATGTCTACACCCAACCTGAAGGATATATTAAGTTTTTCACTCGCCCGCAAGCAATCCAACTTTTTCACCTCCGAAAATGAAAAATTTATGCAAATGTTTTAATCGCATAACTGTCACATATATGTCGCGTAACTTTGTCATATCAATCGCATAACGGTCGCATACGCACCCTAGAAAGTGCGAAACGTTATTGGAATGCCTTCGCATTTTTAACTTTCGCATAGGGTTGTTAACGAATCAAAGATTCGCGAACAGAAAAAGCCCATTCGTTTGTTAATCGAACTGAGTTCGAACAGAAAATTAAACTCGTTAAATAATTGAACGAACACTAGCTCATACGTGAAAGATTGATAATGTTCGCAAACATTAATTTAATAAAATTTTATTTATTTTTTTTTTATATATTTACATATTATTTTTAATAAAAATTTAAAACATAAAAATATTTTTATTTTAGTTTAATTTTTTTATTTTCGAGTTCGAACGAACAAATTTCGAATTAATTAAAAATATTTAAAAATTTATGTCCTAAATTATTCGAACACGAACAAACTCAAACTTTGACGAACAATTAAACGAACGAGCTCGAACACGATTTTTTGCTCGAAAAGTAAACGAACAAACACGAACACTGTTCGAACATATACGAACACGAGCTCGAACAACCTAAGCTCGGCTCGCTCGGTGTAATTACAACACTATTTTTGCACAATGTCATTCACACAATTGTCGTATAAATATCGCATAATATTTTCACATTTTTTGGGCTGAAAATTTGAACTTACAATACAGCGGCTTAAAAATTTTTCCAAGTCTTCCGAACGGATGTGAATAACTATTTTCTGTATTTTAATCATTCTAATGGCTCATCCAAAAATCCCATAACTCGGTAGTCAGGAACTGAATGGCTACAGAGTGCTGCTGAAAGAAATTTCCCTTGCGTGTTGAGCGCATAAAAAGATGTCTTCTTCTTCGACCATTAGAGCTTTCGGCTCATTACTCGTCAAATTTTCAAATGGGTTTTCTCTTAAACCTCCCAACCACCACTTTCACCATAGTAAAAATCTCTCATTTTCTTTTCTGAATAAAACTTTTTTTTTCTTGGCTGTTATAATAAATGGTAATTTGACGCCAAATAATTTCTTGTAATTTTGATTCAGGAATCGGTGTTTTGAGTCTAGAGTTGTCATCTCCTACCTGCAACTCATCTTCTGGCACATGGGCTTTATTTCCTAAGCTTAAATTTGGGAATTCTGATAGAAAGATCTCGACCTGCACTCCTTTATATATGGGTCGGAGATCCTGTAAAATTGCGGGCAGAAAGGTATTCAGTTTGCTTGTTTTGTGTGCGTTTGAGTTTTAATCTTGTTATTAGTATTTTCGACTTAGACGACAGTTTGAATATAATCGTCGATTGTGTGAAATTGCTATAGGTCTTGCTTTTAGCTTGTAATCAACATTTTGATTCAAGAAGATACTGAGATGGCTTTGCTTAGTTATAGTCAATGTGAGTACAACGAGCTTGTTGCTCAAGTGGTACTATCACCCTTTATCAGGGTGCTGGACTGGTTTGATACAGGGTTCTTGGACTTCCCTCCCAGCCAATTTCAGTAGATGTGTTTATAAATATAGTCAAGGTGACTGTAAATTCTCTATATATTGATTTTAGAGGGTCGAACTCGAGGCATCAGATTAATTCTGTTTCTCTTTTAGAAGCAAATTTGCATTGGTAGTTGTCAAAAGAGTGAGATAGAATTTTTTCTAGATCGGATTTCTGATAACCTTGCTGACCCTTTAAGAGTTGTCTGATTTTACATTCTGCTCTTTTGTTGTGGTGTAAGTTGTAACGAATGTTTTTTTGGCACCAGAAGAAGAGTTGAATTCAACTGGAGAAGAAAAAAAGAATATTGTGAAACACAATTTACATGAGGAATAAATTCTTTTTATATTGTTTTTTCGTGATTTCAATCAACTTCTTTTATGCAGACAGCCCAGGATGCTAAGAAGGCAAAACTATATGCACGATTTGGAAAAGAAGTTGTATCCGCGTAAGTTAAGTTTTTGATTTATTTGGCTATGCTATATAATGAAATTTATGACATATATGATAACTTTTACTTGGACAAGGTTATGAATACTAAAAACTATTGGCGTCAGAAACTCGTACAAAACCATCCGAGGCAGTGTGGCCCTTTTCTGTCCATGAAAAAATGAAATGTGGATTTTGTAACAACATTATATTCTCAATTTCCTGTGCTATGTAGGTCTATTTATTTGTCTTACTGAAGTTTTAACTGTTTTCAATATCAGTCCCACTGGTCTTGACTGGGGTATTCTGTGGTTATTTTAGGGTTAAGAAAGGTGGCTCAAGTCCGGTATCTAATACAGCATTAGCTGCTTTGTTTGAGAAAGCAAAGGAGCTTGATATACCCAGGGATATTATAGACCGAAACATCAAGAGAGCTTCAGAGAAGGGTCAAGAAGCCTACATTGAAAAATTTTACGAGGTATTAGGCTTGATTATAGTACTTGCTATATATGTATTCATTTAAGAGTGAATTTTTGAAGTGATTATAGTAGCAGAATTAGATATTTATTGAGAATCAAAAGTTGGTATAATATGAATACTTCCAATATGTATTTCTTTGTTTTTTTTTTTGTTTTTTTTTTTTTTATTTTTCTTTTTAGTTTAGTTCTTTAGTTACGAAGTGTTTGCAACACCATCAAATCATGTGAAAAGTCTTATATAAATCGTTATTTGAATTCACAGGTTTATGGCTATGGCGGAGCTGGAATGATTGTTCAGGTGTTAACAGATAAAGTGAACAGATCTGTGGCGGCTATTAGGGAGGTTGTGAAGGACTATGGAGGGAAAATGGCGGATTCTGGTTCAATCATGTTCAAGTTCAGACGTGCTCGTGTTGTGAATATAAATGCTAAAAATGTCGACAAAGATAAACTTCTTGCTATTGCTCTAGATTGTGGTGCAGATGATGTCATTGACCCCTTGATTGATGAAGATTATATGGAAGAAGATTTGGAAAGGTATACGTGAAAGGCATTTTTTTATTTGGCCCGAATGTCATTTCTTTTGTTGGGAATCTCTTCTAAATTATTCCATGCTTCTTTCCAGTTCCCATGTTACATTTTAAACCCTCCCTTAATTGACATGAAAGATTTACTGAAACCACCTAATATTTTGCCTGAATTCTTCAAATATTGCTAACATGAAATAGCTCCATTTTGTCAACAGGCTTATTTTTTGATATTTAGAAAATATGAGGTATGTAAATGTAAGTAGGGATTGTAGTGTTGAGAAAAGTTGAGGGGTGTAATTATACACATATTTAAATAATATCAAAAGTTCCATTAGCCCCATCGATGTCTGATGAAAAATGCGAGGCTGATGTAACATTATGGATATAATTTGCAACTGTCAAACTTCGCTTTTATTTATTTTTAAAATTTCTTTTGAGGGATGGGTTGAGGTTGGGGGTGGTATACTTAACCAAGCTACGGTAGTTTCTGAAAGGTGACATTTACATTCTTCATATGATGCATATATACAATTGACAATCACTGTCGAGCTGTCTTGTAATAGTTTGCCATTGATGTTTTATAGCTTCACATAATAATTTTATTTTTTGGGCCATTCTTATCCATGTAAAATAATCAAATGAGCTCCACACTTCAGGTTTTTTAATCTCTCATATTGTTTTGGTGATAGGCACTACAAAGTAGTGAGTTCGCTGGAAAACTACGCTGACGTATTGTCAAAACTACGGGAAGAGGGAATAACATTTGAAACTGATAATGGGTTCGAGCTTCTTCCCTTATCACCTATCGAGGTATATGCCAATATTGGCAACTGGATTTGTATTAATATCATCTTACAACTGACCATTAAGTGTCATATGCTACTAATCCCCACAAGTTTGAGCTCCCTACTAATAACAAAGAGCTCCCAAATGGTTGGGATTAAATTAGCAAAATTATCCCTGGGGTTTAATTTAACTTAAATACAATATCCCAATTATCTTTTGAAATAAAAAAAACCCTTTTGTGGCCTTGTAAAATAAACACTTATGTCATGGGTTTATATGCATCTTTGAACAATGGCCGAGCTTTAGCGTAAATTTGTGCTCATTATTTTTATTTTTTTTATTTTTTTTTTATTTTGTGCATGCAGGTTGATGATGAGGCTATGGACTTGAACAAGGAGTTGATGGCTAAACTGCTTGAGCTGGATGATGTTGATGCAGTGTATACAGACCAGAAGTAATTTTATGGACCCTATTATTTGTTTTTCCAAATTATTTGGCTGCTGAGAATTTCAAACCGAGAGTTTGCAGCTTTCTACCAAGAGTCGAGTCCAAGGTAATCAAGCCTCTGCTATAGAAGAATTACAATTATTCTACATGTTATAGAGCAAAACACATTAGATAGTGTGGGTAACAATTTATCTGTGGTCTAACCCTTCAATGTTATTCAGCTTACAGTCGAACATGAGGGGAAGATTAAAATTTCCATTTTTGTCTCTCGTCACGGGTTTATTAACTCCCAACTACTTATTGTCATTCCATTTGGCCACAGACCTTTAAATTATGCCTGGTTTACCATTTGATCTTTTTCTTTTTATTGTTATTATGATTATGATTTTTGTCTAGCCAGGGGATAAGAATAAAACCTTAAATGCGTTTTTTCATCTTCATTTTGTACATCGATATTCAGGGGAACATAAATTATAGAGATCACTCTTCAACTACCTAGTACTCATAAAGTGATATTCCTTATAGCTATATATAACATTGTCGTGTAACCAATAATGTTGTCATACATAGGGCTGCAAACGAGCCGAGCCGAGTCGAGCATTGACCTTATCGAGCAGGATTGAATTTTCTTTTTGAGCTGCTCGAGCTCGAGCTCGATTTTTTAGGCTCGAGCTCGACTCGATAAGAAAATACAATAGCTCGAGCTCGGCTCGAGCTCGACTCGAATTCAAAATGCTCGACTCGGCTCGAGTTCGGTTCGAAAATTTTCAAATAATTTTGTCAAATTATATATATAAAAGGGGTATTTTAGTAATTTACCATATATCTCGAGCCGCTCGACAATGTAAAATTTGGGCTCGAGCTCGACTCGAGTTCGGTCAAACTCGAGCGTTCGCGAGCAGCTCGTGAGCCGCTCGACTCGTGTGCAGCCCTAGTCATACAGTTTCATTTGCATCAAAGATGTTTGTGTCTAAAGTCTTTATTTAGGCAAAATGTTACTTACAACGCTAAGCTACAGGATGTATTGCTGTAAAATCATGTCTTTGTGGAACCCATCACCAGCGCAGTTTATAAGGAAGGCCATAAGGGAACTTACCTTTTGCAATCTCAACTGCTATTCACCGCCCCCCTTTTACTTGTCACCGCCCCCCCAATTACTCTTTTGCCCTTAACCTTTTTTTGGATTTCATCTCTCTAAACTTTATCTCTCTAAATTTTCCGAACTTCAACGAACGATTCGAGCATCAAAAAAAATCCGAAAAAATGTCGAAAAAATTCTACGGCCTCGGCAAAGGATTCTTCTCCGACAAGGTATTTTTTTTTTTTTTTTTTTTGAGCCGAACTATTTTTAAAAAATTTTTTGAAAACCTGTTGAACCGTCCGGCCGGCGGTTCCGG